AGTATGTCAAGTCCTTCTGGCCAAAGAACAAAGTCTTCCTGTTTGGAAAAAAAAAAAATCAGTCATTGTCCATAAGAGCATGGTAAATTTGAGAACTTTGAGAGAACTTGACTCTAAGAAGAGCACCTGCAGTAGTGTTTCCATAATGAGTGTGAACAAGCCTGTGGCCTCCCAGAAGACCTCTGCTATCTCAGTCCACCAAGACAAACAAGACTCTTCACATTAAAGTGTCAGCAAGTTTTCAGATTTTGTTTTCAGTAGAAGCTGGGACAAGTTCGTTAGCCCCAGGCTTGAAGTCCTATTGTTCATTATTTGTTTTGGTTTTGGTACAAGTAAAGAGAGTATTAGTTGTCTTTCTTCTTAATGAGTTCTATTTTCTTTTGGATAATATTGAAGACCAGCAGTGACAGAAAACATTCACTGTGGTTATGCGGGGGGGGGGTGCGTAATTCCGAGAGTGTCTTAAGTGATAGTATGGGTCTAGGTGGCTTTTATCTTACAAAGTGACCGCTGAGGTTCAACTAGTTGCAAATTGAAGCTTGAGCAGTCTGTCAAGCTGGGACAGAAAGCTGCTAGAGCTTTGAGGACACCTGTTCTGTGGATCCCTGGTGAGGTAAATCCACATTTAAGGTACATATCACACAGGTTTTAGGGCAGAGTTCTTAATTGTTGTCTAGTCTGTTGCTTGACTGTTGCCCCATGGGAAATCTCAATGGGTGGGGCAAGGCCCTGCTCCCAGAAAACACCTAACAGACATGGGCTCTTTTAAAGCTGCTCTGAAAGACAAGTTACTGATGACTAGGACCTGGCTCCTGGCTCCTTAGTTGAGTGGGATGTGTATTGTGGTTTGCATGGGATTGTTAAATAAATAGGTGCTGACCGGTTTGCATGTTTCCTTAGTGAGATTTTATTATACCTTCATTGAGAAAACCTGAGTGCTTACTTAACTCAGTAAGAACCTGTGGAGCATGAGCACTGATACCAGAGTGCATCCTGGGGGCTGTGAGATGTGACCTGTTGGTTTCAAACTGTTGTGCTGTGGTGGGATGGCACCCTCAGGACTCCTCTTTTTGTGACCTGCAGCAGGTCTGGGTGTGTGGCAGGGGAAGTGAAATGCCCTCTGCTGACTGTTTACTTTTACTGCTCTTTTTGGAAAAAGGAAGCTCTGTGTGACCAAATGTGTGGGTTTTGCTATCAACTAGTCTTTTAGAACGTTTTATTTTTCTTCCTGGAATACTTTGGCAACTGATGGGCAATAATAAAGAAAGGCAGTGTGGTGAACTCCTGTCCAAAGAGATTCCTAGAGGTTATGTTCAGGCAGACTGGTTTTCCATTGTGATGGACTCTTCAGGCCCACAGAAACTCAAGGGTCTTTCACGCCACAGGAGGAATGGTGAGGAACCTTCTAGCTTTACTAGAACTCTGCCCAAAGCTGCAGTTTGACTCAAGAATTATTCAACTCTCTACTTATCACTAGTCTGGACTTTCTTCTTCTCTGATGGTACAGTATTGCTTCCATTTCTACTTTATTCTCTTCAGATACTATTTTAAAAATTGCTATTTTACATTTTGTTAATATTTTGCTTTAAAAGTAAGTCCTGAACTATTTCAGTGCAATTATTGGAAAGTTAGATCAGTTCAAGGACCTAGGAGCCCCAAGCAAAAGTAATGGTGACGTTGGACAAACTTCATTTCTTTCTCCAAATTTTCATAGTAGGCTCAATTCTGTTGCTGGCAGCAGTTGGGGTCACAGTGTTTACTGGGGAATTATGCTGATTGTTACTTTCCATAGATTAGTGCTGAGGACCCCAACTGCAAGTTGTCAGCCTGCAAATACTCTTGTCTATTGAGCTTTCTAGGGAGACATTTTGATGCTTTGACTTCTCATATATCAAGGGGCTTTGCAGAGACAATCTCAGAGGCATCCTCACTCTTGCCTGCTCAGGTAGAGTCAGTTACAGGACTCTTTGTCAGCTGGCTACAGACACAGAGCTGTGGGAGTGTCCCAGGTGTACTAGACCAGGACATTTATGTTACCAGGGCACATCTGTTAATTCTGCGGGTTCCAGAGATGATGAGACATTAAAGAGTGCTACACCATTTCTACAGCATTTCCCCAAAGCTACCTTGGTTCTAAGATTTTAAAGCAACAGGGGCCAGGAAATCCTTATTTCACAAGAACTGGAAGTACCCAGCTAGTCCCTTTCTAGCCACGTGCACGGTGTGTTCAGTTCAAGAGAGGAAATAGGAGCAGAGAGGGAATGGGACCTGGAGGCCTCTAGGCTCTTCCCCAGAGTTGTACATGCAAATCAGAGGTCCATCGGCAACATGATCTGATCTGGGCTGAGATGTATGTGTAGTGTCCCCCTACTGAATTCAGTACTTAGACCTTCTCCTTCCTTTGACCCAAACTTCATTAATTAGATTTTTTTTTTATTTCTGAGGGTACAGTATCTCAGGTTAGGCTCAGGTTAGGAATAGAAGGAAACCTAAGAGGAGGTAAGCATAGATTGAGTGACATGTCTGTGAAGAAAGCTATTGTGGTCATGAATGATCTGAGAAGGGAGCAGGATGAAGCAGAGGCAGAGATGCCTTACTGTCTCTTATGGCAGTCCATGCACACTTGTGTCCATGAGTAGCACTCAACAGTGTTCTATGGACAAGCAGCACTCATGCACTTAGAAGGAAGATTGGAGGTTAAAAACATGCTCCTATTTTACAGATAAGGAAACTGAGGCCTAGAGTCATTACATAAATCTGGGGGTTTTCCACTAGTGACAGCCCATATTTGAATGCAGGTATTTTTTGGCTCTTAAGTCTGTTGTCATTGCTGTTTTCAACAAAGACGAAGGTGGTCTCAGGGCACAAAGACTATGTTGGTTCTTTATGATATACACTCTGTGTCAGCCCAAACCTTTCATTTGTTACATTCATCTCATTGGTAGGTATTTTATTGCTTATTTTCTCTGCTATACTTTACAATCCACATGTGCAGGGCCCACATCCACATGTGTCCAGAAACATTTTTGGAAGAATGAGGAAGGGACTCTGACACGAGGGTCATCTCCTACTGGGATGTTATGGAGCAGCTCTAGTGTTAAGTCAGGGATGACGTATGAGGGCTAGGTTTGAAGATGACTTCAGGCATCTTAAGAAACACTGCAAGTATTTTTATATATACAGACTCTTTGGGCTTTAAGTAGATCATCCAAACCACATTTCAGGGGATCGAGATGCCGGGTTATCTTCATTTTGCACCAGTTTCCAATTGATTCTGCACCGTGGTCAGTTAGGAAGCCGTAGCATGTGTAGGTCTGATGCCTAGTCTGAGGAGCTGGGGTCCTGACACTAACAGTCTGCCTCGAGCTCATTTCCCCCTCCACTTGCTGGCTCTGAGTGGCTTCTTTGCCTATTGGCCTTCAAGACCAGACCATGCTGGTGCTGAGAGCCTAAGAACCCTGTGGGAAGTCTTGGGCAGCATGAGGCACATGTTGTTATCACTATCAGCTGGGTGTTTACTGAACAAAGTTCAGTTCAGGTAGCCCTGTGGATCCGGGTTGAAGAGATACCCAGGCTTCCGGGCCTTTGATACAAAGCCTAGGTCCCTGGGCCCTTATCAGTGGAGGATAATGGGTTCCTTGTGTGAGTCCCAGAGACCATTGCTTCTTGATCTTGGGTGACCTAGATCTTGGCCTGCCCTCCAAGGGCCTTTCCATCTGTGTGGATAGGTTGTCTCTGATCTCCCAGACAAGGGAAAACCCTATGCCCTGGCTCTGGTTTTGTTGATGCTTTGGATTCTTGGATATTTTAACAAAAGGGAACAGAAACATCATCCCAGCAGCAAGGTAGACAGACACTCTACATTCCAGGACACATGAATCATCACTGGGTGTTTGTCTCATGTACTGAGGATCACTGTGGACCAGGAAGACATATTTTTCCCCATTCTATTAACCCTAGAGATTCAGGAGAGGTGAGAGGGTGATAAAAGGAAGTACGTCTGAAAGCACCACCCAGATGATTTGTTAAGAAACAGCCAGGACTAAGATTATAGATAATTTTGGCATGTCTGCCACTTGAGAAGGCAGAGACAAGGCACAATAGATCAAGAAGTTATAATCTCGTTGGAAGCATTTTAAGCTCATACCAACAAGAAAAACTAATCATTACCTAGCAGGCTGTACATTTATTGAATTTGAGAGGTAGAGCAAAGAGCTCAGTGGTAGAACACTTGCCTGGAATGTCTAAGGCTCTGGGTTATATCCACAACACCAACAAAACAAAGAGATGAGGAAACAAATGAAACTCTGCTAAATGGTTGTTCTGTACCTGATATTATATGATACATATACCTTTGTGTTTACTACACCAAATTACTCTGACCAATATTCATCTCATATGAAACTACAGATTAGGAGGTTCTGAGAAATTTGATTACTTCATAGGATCTCATAGCTAGATTGTGACTGAGATGGTATTTGGATCCAGCTATACCTGACTCAAGAGTTCTTGGTGTGATTGCCATCCTCTACTACCATTTATGTGAATGCCAATCAACTCTATATGTGTTTGGGAGGTGGGTGTAGGAATTCTATGGTCTGCAAGAGCCAGAGGGGTAGCCCCAGAATCAGAATTCTGGCTATCAGAAATAGCAATGAATATAGGGAGGTAAAACATGGAAGGCCATGCTGAAGAGTATAACCAGGCCTTCTTGTTGGAGCCAGTTTATGTATCATGCAAAGAAGCCAGAAAAATGGTGTTCTGGTCCCATTGGGAAGCCCTTTCCCCTTTTAGACAAAGGGGGCAGGGCTTAGTTATTTGAATATAGTAACCCCCAGAAAGTTTGGGGGCAGAAGGAGTCTTGGGAGACATATCCCAGGAAGCCTCATGGAGATTCTTCATGTATAATTTGGAGAGTTGGGCACCAGAGGAAGTGGGCACATTTGTGGTTGGGGGCATCTGTGAAGGGCCAGGCGTTCCAGTGACATTCCTTTTTACAG